GCAGACAGGTCCCACCACTTCAAACACACACACATTCCTCATTGCAGCAAGAAACTTCCCTCAGCAGGAAGGGAAGTCGAAATAAAAGAAGATTTATCTATGTTTTGAAAACACACGGCACCGCCTCTCCCAGTCCCATGCTGGCCTTCAGCCCCCATGCCACATACTCACTGGCCACCCGTGTCAACTAGTTTTCCCAAAGAAACTAGATTACAGTGCCCCTCAGTTTCTCCAGGAGATTATGGTCAGTACCCATGCAGACATCAAAGCCTATGTATGGGTGCTCGGTCCCTATTGTAAATGGTTGGCATTTCACACACCCCACGACATCCTCCTGACTACTTTAAGTCAACTTTAGATTACCTGTAATACCTGATGCAATGCAAATGCCACTTAAATGGTTGTTATACTGTATTGTATTCTTGCTTGTATTATTGCTGTATTACTAGTTTTTACCATTTAAAAAATTTTTTTTCCAACTATTTTCCATCAACAGTTTGAGTGTGAGTCTCCTGCAGGCCACTCTGGATGGCCTGGGAGGCACCATGGTTGCGGAGAGCTGACACTACACCACACAGGATATAAAAGAAGGGAAAGCCAGTGCCAAAAGAGTGTCACACACTCCAAAGTCCAATAGCTATGATTGTGGCACTGCTTTTAATACACAGTGACACTCAAGAAATGGAGTGTGCTGACTTTCCCTGGGAACCCACGATTGTGCTACCACACAGAGATGGAGGTGGGGAGACCCAGGTGCTCGGTCTGTCATTTCTACTGGAGGATGTGGGACTTGGGGGGAGACATAGAGAACCAGGAAGGAGTAACCAAGACTCCTGGTGAGGGGCTGCGGGAACGTCCCTTCCAAGAAGCTGCTTGAAGGCCTAGCTGTACAGTCCCAGAGCCACAGGACACGAACAGGTACAGATGGACATGGACTTCCTCAGGTCCCAAACTGAACCTTCATTCCTATCATTTCAACTGCAGCAAGTGTTAACAGAATGACCCTACGGTATGCAATGGAGTTTGGGCATCTCAGAGAATCATGAAAATACAAGAGGAGGTTTTCCTGGTTTATTCTGGAGGGAATGGGTACTTGGGGCATGTTCCAAGGCTGGGGGAGCAGAAGTGATCCATTCAACTCTTGGCAGAAGAGAAATCTCAGTCTCAGCTTCCTAGCTGCAGAGCTCCTGTTCCTCAGCAGCCAAATCCAGGTGGAGCACTATGAAAGGAGTGCTGAGACTCACCCACGAAATATGTGTATATTATCAGGTCATGCCAGGCACTGCGATTGGAAAGACAGATGGGTGAGAGTTACATGTGCTTTAGGAAGTACTTGACAGGTGTCTTTAGGTGGGTGATCCAGCAGAATGTCAAGCAGACCAAGAGTCGATGTTTTACATTATTTACTTCCGTGTTTTACAGGTGTATTTCATATGTTCAGTGTAGGCAAACGTTGTTGATATTCTTACTGTATTATTATTATTATTATTATATTGGTAAAAATAACCCTAGAGAACAGGTATTATACAAGGTATGACAATTAAGTTTGCGAACTCTTGTCCTAGAAAGAGTGCTACATACTTCATTGCTAAATGTCACTATGGTCACCTTCAAAGTACTCCCCGTGGGAAGCTATGGACTGACACCAGTGCCTAGTCACCAGTCAAAGCAATTTTGGAACTCTTTTTTTGGAATGGCCATCAGAGCTGTCATCACGAGAATGTCTGTGTTTGAATTACAGCAATGAACGAACATTAAATTTCTTGTTAAACTTGGTAAGCGTGGAAGTGAATCAGGGACATGTTAGTCTAAGTTTATGAGGGATAATGCCATGAAGAAAACGGCAGAGTACAAATGTTCTCCAAAGGGAGAGAAAGCGTTACTGATGAAGAGACGTAAGGGCAGCCAGTATCGAGTAGAACTCATGAAAACATTGAAAAAGTCATCAAATTGTGTGTCAAAATCGTCATCTGTAAGAAGCATGGCAGACCAAATAAACATAGAGAAATAGGAAAATCTTAACTGAAAATCTTGGCATGAGGAAGTTGTGTGCAACAATGGTCCCAAAGAAGCTCTTGTATCACGACAGTGCACCAGCTCACACAGCACTGTCCGTAAGGGAGTTTTTAACCAGTAAACCATTAACTGTACTGGAATACCCTCTCCACTTACTTGATCTGGCCTCCAGTGACTTTTTTCTTTACCCAAAGATAAAGAAAATATTGAATGGAAGACATTTTGATGGCATTCAGGATATCAAGGGTAATAGGACAACAACTCTGATGGTCATTCCAGAAAAGAGTTCCAAAATTGGGTGAACTAGGCGGTGCATAGCTTCCCAAGTGGAGTATTTAGCACTTTTTCTAGGGTGAATTTGTGAATTTAACTGTCAGACCTTGTATGTTGAGATTAACAAGTGCATCCATGGAGATGGAAAATGAGAGAAAAAAGTTAAATAGTCTTATTACAAAAAGAAAGGATAAGGTTTAAATGGCTCAAAACCTGAACAAAAGCCAATATCCAGATATACGAGCCTCCATTCAGTGCACAAGATAATTATTTAGATATGAAAATTAAGTATTCTTATATTTGGTTTTCTTGAATACAGTTCTCTCAATAATAATTTTTCAACTATTTCAGGAAATTTTAAAATTTGAAATAGTTCTTTTCATTCTGGGTTCCAAGAAAGAAAAATAAATACTTATAATGAGTTGATTGTTATACCTTGAAAAAAACAAATTTTACTGTTTATTTGACTAAATAAGTTAGAAATAGGAGGGCCCTGATGCCATTCATATTCTAGTATCTCTCCCAAAATGAGGGCAAGTAGAATCAGGTTCATGACCCGTGGGATAAGAAACAAGAACTTCTCAGACGGCAAATAAGGGAAATTCAAGATCAGCAACAACAGGGAAAAGAGCCAACAAAATGTCTGAACAGTCTAGCATGCTAAGACTAAGCTCAATAATCAAAGGATGATTAAGTTTGGACAGTTGTCATAAAATGTGACAGTGAATTCCTGGTACATCCAGGTGTCTGAACACCGTGTCACCCCTGGGTCGCCTGGGCCTGAGGTGAAGGCCATCTCTTCTGAATCTCCATGAATGGCCTCCACAGCGTAATATGGGCTGCCCTACGTGGAGGGCAGCCCAGGCTCCTGCACGCCATGTGGCTGGCCGTGGCTCGTTCTGTCATGGTTTAAACCTGAAACATACACTTAAAGCAGCTTCTTTTTTTCCCTCCCTCAACAGTTCTGCCCATTATCCCTGGTATGCACAGGCAAAAATCTTTATTTTCAGAAGGGATACATCAGTACTAATTTGAAGGAAATAAGCCACCTGGGACCAGGAACCAGCAAGCACAGTTATGCGTCGCTTAAACAACAAAGACACATTCGAGAATCACATCGTGAGGCCATGTCATCGTGTGTGAAATCAGTGTCCTCACACACCAGTGTGGCCTCCTGCACACCTAGGCTGGACAGCAGGCTGTGCTGTTCCTGGGAAACGTCACCACAAAGCATACGGCTACATGCAACTCTACAGGCAGCTGCAACAGGGTGGTAAATATTCGTGTATTTTAATGTAGAAAAAGGCATGTAAAAACTGGAATTATGATCATGTGGGACCACTGGCACACCTGCAGCCTGTGCTGAGATATCCTATGAGATGCATGGCTGTGTACTACCACATGTTCACTTCAGAGCCCAGAGTCCAAGGGTAAGAGACTCCTCTAACCCAAGACTCTGGAGTTTGGACATACAGCTAGTGTTTAAAATGGTTATTTTGTATCACAGTTTAAACATAAAGGATCACCAAGTTATCTCTTAAAGTTTCACATTAAACTCTTCACACTAGGTTGGGCTTGGTGGCTCAGCCTGTAATCCCAGAACTTCGGGAGGTCGAGGTGAGAGGATTGCTTGAGCCCACAGGTTTGAGACCAGCCAGGGCAACTTGGCAAGACCTCGTCTCTATAGTAGATAAAGTAGATTAGCCGGGCATGGTAGTGCGCACCTGTAATTCTGGTTACTTGGAAGGCTAAGGCGGAAGGATCACTGGAGCCCAACAGGTCGATGCTGGAGTGTCCGTGAATGTGCCACGGCACTCCAGCCTGGGCAACAGAGTGAGACTTCAACTAAAAAAAAAAAAAGTCTTCACACTTTTCTATCATGACTTAAAGTTTGTAGGTCTAGCCAAACACAAAGCCCAAAGAATCTGGTTAGTGCCCTAGAGCAAGGTGCTTTCACAAGGGAAATGCGGTTTTAAATGTTTACTTGCTCTTTTCTGAACTTTCAGTCACACAAAGTAGATTCAGCTGAAGTCCATGGTCAGCTAAAGTAATGTTACCACAGATGATTTGCTTCTGAACAAGAGCCCCATGTCCTGGGACAAGGCAGGGGCTCTGCTGAAAGTGAGAAGAGACCATGCCATCGGTGACAAGACACCTGCACGGGTAAGTCACACTCCAGGGCCCTCAGGAGAAGCTATGACTCTTTTCTCCTCATGCTGAGAGTCTCCCTTATTTCAACATATTTGTTTTTAATGTCTATGTGAATGTGTTATAGGAAGTTGCATGAAGATCAGATACCATTTCCCATGAGTATGTTATTAAAAGTCTGCCTCCGGTATTCCTGGTGAGAAGTGACAATTCCAACACATAATTTTGTTGTCACTTCTGGGCTTTATCACGTTTAAAAGAAAACGTGTCGCTAAAAACATGATGGCCCTGTCATGGTGCTGCTAAGATCTGAGTAATTTGGGCTAATTAGTGACTTCTGTATCACCAAAGACTAACAAACCAAGAACTCCGTTTAAAGCAGCTATTGCAGAAATATACTGTGTGTGGCCCCAGGTAAGCTTTTGTTGATGTGAAGTGCTTTCCTCAAATTAAAGTACAGAACTACTTTTCACGGAAGGAAACTGAGGAATTGTTGGATTCGACATAAAGATGAAGACACACTTTCTTCTGTGTTTGAGACATACACTTTGCTATTCACAGGCTAACTTGCATCACACGCAGTTTAATGAAAGCTCTCAAATAAGCGATTTTATTCCTATCCATGATTGCAGACATTTACAAAACCATAACATCTGAGTTCACCTTAAAAAATAACTTATATAAAGCAGTGATATACACAGCACAAAATAGTTCAGGGAGGGGCAGGAGCAACTTTTAATAATTAAAATGTAAACGTGAAAAAAAGGATGGAGTAAAAGGCCCTACTTGTTCTACTTAAGATGTCGTGTGAGGATATCTTACAATGTCCGTGGGTCAGTGCACGCTTATGCCTGTGTCTGCGTGACAGACACACAATGGCACAGCCTCTTCCCCACACATACACACACACACACACAACGGTCTGCAGTCTGCCGAGCAGGTCTAATGCGCCGCTCCACACAGGTGTTCGAGTCGCGGCTGGACCCGCTTTCTTCACACAACAGGGGAGAGCAGGACAGACAGGGTTGGTTGGTGTGACAGAGTCCTCGAAACTGGCACGGTGATGGTCATGGTTGCCCGTGGTTCTGGGAAGGGCTGGCTCGCGGCAGCTCTCGCAGATGGCGGAGCGGTCACACACTCATGGTCATGCTGGGGGAATACTGCAGGGAGAGAGGAGATGGTGAGGACAGTCTGCCAGAGGCGCGGGGTCTTCTGGGCGCAACACAGAAACGATGATGCCAATCTCTCATCAACTCTTAGTTCAAGCTTTTAAGCTCATACAACACAAAGTAAGAAACTATACCAAGCAAATGGACACAGACTGAGCTCAGTCCTGGCATTCTCACATTTCCCCGGAAAGCGCTGGGCCTCTCTCTGGATCAGCAGGGTGCCTGCTTGTACCAAAAATGACCATGGTTTAAGTCTGGCGTCACAGGTCGGGATAGGAGGCTTCTATGCCAATGTATAAATCACTCTTAGTATTCTAAGTGCTTTAAGGAGAGCTTCCCTGGGCCAGCCGGGAGTTGTTTTAGTCTTGTTTCCTGCAATATTAACCTCCTGTGTACTGAGCACTTTTTGTATCTAGTAAAAACAAGTGTGGCTAGGAGCTCAGCTTTTAATGTGACTTAATTTTGATTTGTTTAAATGTGAATATCCATGTGAGTTGAGTGGCCACTGTCTTGGTGGTCTCTGGATGAAGACAGTTTCTACATGAACATGTGAACATAGGCCTGAACTACTTCACATGTGTTCCTGAAGCTGGTAAGGCCAGATGGAGGTGGTTCCTTCATGTATGAATGATGACTATGCCTGTGCAAAGAGGCTGGTGGGGTCAGAGGGCTCGGGGAGACCAGGGCAAGCCAGGGGAGAGCATGGAGATTTTAAAAAGAGCAGGAAGAGAACAGAACACAGAGTGTCCCAGGCACAGATGCAGGGCAGAGGCAAGGCATGGGTAAGGCTGGACAGGGGAGAGGCAGGTCCCAGAGAGTGGAGTGACCAGGGCCCAGACCAGATGTCACTGGGCTCAGGCTCCAAAGATGCAGCTCTGAGAAGAGGTGGTGATTAGGTCTGACAGAGGGGTCCTGGGACCATGGGACCTGCCTGTTCATCCTGCCAACATGGTCACACACACAGCAGGGTCCATCTGCCCATCACTCTCAGTCCTGAGTCAGTGCAGGAAGGCAGGCAGAGTTCTGCCATGAACCACTTCCATGTGCTGGACTACAGCGGGATTGGGGTGATAGGAAGGGAGTGGGAGGAGAGATGGAAACTCAATTACAAACCTTTCCCCCAATACTTATGTTTGCAGCAGCAAGAAAGCAAAGCAAAACTCTCTGAGTCACAGCCAATGACACAGAGCCCACCCAACATGCATCAAGATGGGATACACGTGCATTTCATCTTGAGACACCACACATACAATATGATGCCATGTCTACAATGCAAATGTGACGGCAAGTGTCATGGGGCTACCCACAGCCTTTGATGAAGCGGATTTATATGTGGTGCTTAACTTTTAGGGCAAGAATAAACACCAAGAAAATAAATGAACACCAAGGATTTACTAGAAGTATTAGAACAAATGTAATAGAGTTATATTATTAAAAGTATAATAGAAAAAATCAGAGAATATGGCAAAACGTGTACAGAAAATTCAATCTATGCTCTCTGTAGTTGCTGTAATTTATGATAAGTTTCATGCCAGTCGGTGCTGTGCTGGCTGGTGTAGCAGTTGCCAGCCATGTGTAGCTCCTGAGCTCTCGAAATGCAGCCAGTTTAGCAGGAGCTGAAACTTAGCTGACTTAATTTTAACGAATTTAACTTTAAGCAGCACAGCTAGATCATTGATCATCATTTTGAAATAAAGATTGTATTGAATATATTGCACCAACAGCATAAAACAGTGAAAGATACTAAGGCACTTCAGAAAGACCCTGGGAAATCTATTTAAAAGTTTTTGAGCCAGGCTCGGTGGCTCAGCCTGTAATCCCGCGCCTTTGGGAGGCTGAGGTGAGTGGATTGTCTGAGCCCACGGGTTCGAGACCCGCCTGGGCAGCGAGACCTCATCTCTATAATAAATCAAAAAATCAGCTGGGCGTGGTAGCGCATGCCTGTAATTCTGGCGACACGGAAGGCTGAGGCGGAAGGATCACCGGAGCCCAGCAGGTCGAGGCTGCGGTGGCCAGGAGCAGCCACTGCACTCCAGTATGGGCGACTGAGTGAGCTCCAACTCAAAAAAAAAAAAAAGTTTCTGGGAAACTCATAATTAACTCCAGAGACCATTTAATGAACATCCCAAATGATCAAGATTTAAAAAGTTCTGAATCCTCTTTCCATAAGTATTACTCTGGTTCACATATCAGGTAACATTAGCAAAGAACTTTAAAATACACCACAGCCTTTGTCTAATGCACATTAAGAGTACGTGTAGATGTCAACACGTACAGGCTCGCACTTGCTATCAAGCATGCCGACTGCCTGCTACCATCTCTTAATGCTGGCAACAGCTAACAGTTTTCACCTGTGACAGTGCAAATATTTTAAGTAAATCTAACAGAAAGTGGGAATTTGCGACAGGCTCCTAGGAAAGTTAAGAGAGTTGGGTGTGCCCAGGGAGTGCCCTGACTAGTTAATCAAGGCACATGTGAGAGTGCCGGGGTGGAGTCCGCAGGGAGCGTGGGGGTCTCACTCGCAGCACACTCGGAGAGCCAGCCACCCCTGGGGAGAGCTTCACTTTTGAGTGGACTGTCACCGCACTGAAGTGATGGCCGGTCTGGGGAAGGGAAAGGCCACATTCTGCCAGGTCCACGTTTGCACCGTTTGCACCGTGGGACTCCAAGGCTGAGCGCCGTGGCTGCAGCTGCCTCTACTGAAACTGCCTGCAAAGCAGGGAGAGAGAGAAAGGCACACAATCCTAGGAAAACTCTCAGCAGGGGCCAGCAAAAGGGATCTGCCCACAATCACCACCCTTCAAGGTCAGGGGAGGCACCTGCAGCTTCCCAGGGAGGAGAGGGTATGGATGGGGCCCTGGCAGAGATGTGTATGTTTGTGGTGTTCCGTGCTGACAGGAGGTGAAGAAGAGAGTGTGGACAGGGCTCTATTAGAGATGTACATGTTTGTCGTGTCCTGTGATGACAGAGGTAAAGAAGAGAGGTGTAGACAGAGGCCCACTAGAGTCATATGTGCTCCTGGTGTCCCATGATGATATGAAGTGAAGGAGAGGGTGTAGACAGGGCCTTATTAAAGACATGTGTATTCCTAATGTCCTGTACTGACACGAGGTGAAGGAGAGGGGTGTAGATGTGCCCTATTAGAGACTTGTATGTTTCTGGTGTCTCAAGCTCACAGGAGGTGAATTAGAGGGTGTAGACGGGGTTCTATTAGAGATATGGATGTTCGTGGTGTCTCATGCTATCAGGAGGTGAAGGAGAGGTGTGTAGACGGGGGTCCTATTAGTGACCTGTGTGTCTGTGATGTCCTGTGCTAACACGAAGTGAAGGAGAGGGTGTAGATGAGGCCGTGTTGGAGATGGGCAAGTTCCTGGTTTGCTTTGTTGACATGAGATGAAGGAGAAAGTGTTAACAGGGCTCTGTTTGAGATGTGAGTGTTCGTGGTGTCCTGTGCTGACACTAGGTGAAGAAGGGTGTAGACAGTGTTCTAACAGAGATGTAGTTATTCGTGGTGTCTTGTGCTGACAGGATGTGAAGGAGAAGGTGCAGATGGGGCTCTATTAGAGATGTTTGTGTTCATGGTGCCCCATGCTGACCGGAGGTGAAGGAGAGGGTTGAAGACGGGGCCCTATTAGAGATGTGGGTGCTCCTGGTGCCCCATGCTGACATACTCCAGCATTTCCCTTGCCCCCCTCATCAGTGTGCGAAGGCACCTTGTGCTCTGGGCCCAAGTGCTGTGGTCGCAGGCTGACATGCTCAAATCCCATCTGCACGTCGGGCCCTCCTCATCCTGTGACAAATAGCTCCTGCAGAGCACTGACAGCAAGACCTGTAACATCTGCAGATACTACTTCAGCATGTGCCAACATGTCCTACCCTCTAATGTGAACTGTATTTGAGATGACACACCTTGTGGACACTCAGAATTTCTGTTACACTCAGTTCATGAGCCATAAAGTCCACAGTGATATCTTCTGTCTTCAAGTTTCTGTTTATACATATCGTGAACACTCTAGAGCTCACTGTTTCTACAGCTAAGCATCTATGTGATATTTATTTTATTAATGAGAGAGAAATTAGTTCCTCTACTCTGAGCTAAAACTAAAGGGAAATGCATTCAGTGTTTATGTGGCTACAGAAAGAGCAGAGGAACATGATGGGGTCGAGCAGAAGGGCCGACCTGCCACCTTGTGTGTCATTCAGGAGTAAGATCAGCTGCTTTTTTCTCACTTCAGAGGCAGGAAAAGCTTATGTTTGAATGAAGCCTTTTTTGGTTCTTACTTTCAAAAACAAGCATTTTATCGTTTGAACGCTAGGGGGCATGTTTGCTTCTTGAAATGAAGGGCCTTGTCTATGATCCAGTAGGGAAACATGTTGAACCTATTTTGGCTTGTCCAGCATGGGCACTCGAGGCTCATGACTGGGCAGGCATACTGCTCCATGTGGATTAAGTGGAGTCATGTGTGTCTCATACACAGCAGGTGCTCAAACGATGCCTGCTCCCTTCCCAGGTTCCTTCTATGGTTTCGCTTCAAGACAAAGACGGACATGTCCTCGAGAGGCAGGCCGCTCACAATATGTGCTTTTCAGAGTCAAGTGCGTCAAAACCACTAGGACTTGCACATTCATGTTGGGAACCATTTTCTTTCTGAATTCATGACATATTTCTGCTTTACTTCGACTGTAGTAATGCTCACAAAGGTATCCAGCTTGTTTACTCTTCTTTAAGGCGCACGTCTGTCAGTATAGAGCCTCTTGTTCTTCTTCCTCCCCCCTCTCTTTGCTTATAAATGATCTAAACAAACATGTATGGTAGTACAATGGGGAAGCCACTGGCAGCAGTGACACTGCTCGTGACAAGTTAGTTATCCCTAGGCAGGCACGGGACAGAGTAGCCAGTGTGAACGTGCCTCCCTCAGAGGGTGGTGCAGCTTAGTCCACTGTCCGATCATTTTTCCTTTTGTGATTTGTCTGGTGGGGACAGGCGGGGAGGAGGAGAAAGCCCTGGCTCTGCAGTTGTTGGCTTGGGGCAGTAAGCCTGGGCCAGCAGGCATGGCTGCAGCAGCTACGTCCACAGGGGCCCATCAGCTGCCTCTTCCTGTCCAGCTGGGGCAACAGGGAGAGGCTGATGTCCTGTCATCTCTGATTTCTGGCCCCATGAAGAGTTCTGTATGCCAGTTCTGAACACCTGGTACCTGTTTTGTGACTGACACACGAGGTAGCAGCCCCTAGTGATGAATCTGGGAAGGAAGGAGAGCTACCCTTGTCCCTGCCCAGAAAGTTAAAATCATGCAGAAACTTTTTCAGAAAGTTTTTTTTCCAACTTCAAATTAGTCATTTCCTGTTGCTTAACTTTTTAAAAAATAGAGACATACGTGTTCCTGGTGTCCCATGATGACACGAAGTGAAGGTGAGGGTGTAGACAGGGCCCTATTAAAGACATGCATATTCCTAATGTCCTGCACTGACACGAGGTGTAGGAGAGGGGTGTAGATGGATTACCCTATTAGAGACGTGCATGTTCCTGGTGTCTCAAGTTGATAGGAGGTGAATTACAGGGTATAGATGGGGTTCTATTAGCGACGTGGATGTTCATGGTGTTTCATGCTGTCAGGAGGTGAAGGAGAGGGGTGTAGATGGGGCCCTATTAGTTGTCCAGGCTGGTCTCAAACTCTGGGCTCAAGTAATTCTTCTGCCTTGGCCTCCCAAGGTGCTGGGATTCAAGCATGAGCCACTGTGCCTTGGCCATTTCCTGTGACTTTTGAAATACCTGGCTTATACCTCATATAGCACTCATGACTCTGACAGGATTTAGGCAGCCATGCAAGCATTCGCTTTCCTGTGGGACTGCATCCTTTTAGGAGAGGCATGTTATTGTTAAAGTATTTCAGCCGGGCTCGGTGGCTCAGCGCCTTTGGGAGGCTGAAGTGAGTGGATTGCCTGAGCCCGCGGGTTCAAGACCCACCTGGGCAACTTGGCGAGACCTCATCTCTACAATAAATCAAAATGAGCCGGGTGTGGTAGCGCGCGCCTGTAGTTCCAACTACTTGGAAGACTGAGGCGAAAGGATCGCCGGAGCCCAGCAGGTTGAGGCTGCGGTGGCCGGGAGCGGCCACTGCACTCCAGTCTGGGCGACAGAGTGAGACTCCAACTCAAAAAAAAAAAAAACCAAACAAAAAACAACAACAAAAAAGTATTTCAGAAGTGCCTGTTGCTAACCTTATGCTTTGCATGTAACAGACTCAGTAAATGTCAAACTGAATGGCATGGTTATATACCTCACTAAATTATACCATCTAATTGCCAACAAATTTAGTAGAAAAGGAAATAACTGTCTCTTATTAGATACAAGTTAACTCAAGAAAATTTATCTGCTCATGGTTCTGGAGGAAACCTGTAGAGGACCAGGACTGAAGAGGAGCTCCCGCTATGGCTGGGCCTCTGTGGCTCTTCTAGTCTCCCTGTGGCTGATGGGCCAGGCTCTTGAGTTTTGAGGGGAGTTTTTATATAATCCTTCTGTCCTCACTAATCATAGAAATCCTGCAAAGAACACAGACTAAAGACCAGCATTTTTCTGTTTCTAGTTTTATCAGAGATGAAGTGTAAGACAGGGAGGTTGAGGGATCTACCACCTTTGCATGGGACCTGCTGGTGTCTGGCCTTAGGGAGGGAACTGGGAAACCATATTCAAAAGCTCTACACATGTTTCTAATCTGAAATAATAGTATGAAAAATCATCACGGTGTAGTAACTCCTGGAGAGAGGCACTATTTTGTCTTCTTTGGTCTCTCCAGGGCCTAGCCCACTGCCTTGCCATGTGGCATGTGCTCAGGGATTATTTCTTAAGTGAATGAATGAATGAATGTTATTGCTTCTCTGTCTGGTCCCGTCTTCTTCTGTGAAGACACGGAATGACACTGCTCTTGCTTAACGGTACAATGGCACTCAAGCAGGCCTTGGATGTGCAGCTCAGGGGGACAGACCACAGGGTGACCTTCAGTCCATGAGGTCTTGTGTTGGGGGTAGGACAGACTTACAGATTTCCAGAGCCTGGAGGCAGCTCTGAGGACAGACGGGTTTTGCAGCCACTCGAGACATTTAGTAACAAGAAAATTTACACAAAGCATCAAACAGGCAACCTGTGTCCAGTTTGCCCCATCATAACAGGACAATTCTCAGTGAGAGACTTAATATCATGGTTTTTGTAACTATATAGCTAGAATCAGAGTAAAAAGGAAAAAGTTTGGTTAAAACAATTTTTTTTCAAAGAAAGTCCTACTAAAGTCCCTTAAAGTTTCTACTAACTTTTAAGGGCTCTACCAACCAAACTCTAGAGAAACAGCTTGAGTGGCAACTTTATGCATTTATTCTAGTAGCAGGGCTCCCAAAAAGAAGTGTGGGTACAATAATGTAGTCAGGGATACTCACACTCTCACTCTGAAAAGGGTTTAGGAAGTTGCCCCCCATCTCACCATCGTCCCTCGGGGTGCCTGGCTGGTTACTCAGGCTCATGTTGTTGGGAGAGTTCTGTGAACAAGATTCAGAAAACAAGGCATTGCTGAGGATTTCAATTCCCTCTTGTATAGTACTGTTTCAAAGACGGACACTATGGTAGCATCTCTAAGGGCAGAGTGTGCCTGCAATTTGTACCATGGATGTCTACCATAGGTTCTAGTTCACCCTGTGCACTTAACAAGCACAAATGCTTTCCCAAGTAAAAATTAGCAACAAAAATCCTAAAATAACCCCCCCACACACTCCTTTCTTGGTCTCAGAATCAATATTTACTCAATTTCCCACCCTCAGCTTATATAGATCCTGGAACTCTGGAGAATTTAAACCAGCCCCAGTGGGCATGATGGAGAGACCCTACTCTCTGACAAGTCTTAGGGAGGATCACTCCCTTGTTATGCCACCAACCAAACATCACAAGATCCCTGTTTCAGCAAACATTTCCCTTTAATTCTACAGGCAGCATATGCACATTACCTTGTCCATTATTATATGAACCATAAGGAAAAAGAAATAGTGACCATTGCAGTTAAGCACAGAGACACCCGATGACTTGGGAATCACCCTGAACTTGGAGAGAAGGCAGCTCAGAAGTGAAAAGCTGCAGAATGCTTTCCTGTCCTGCATTTAGGAGTTGACTGAAATGTCCCTGAAGGTAAAGTGGCTGCTGCTGGTAGCCCAGTTACACAGTGAGTAGCAGGGCACGGCCACGGTCTTGCTGCTATAAAATGCGGGCCACATCAGTGTGTCTGGCACTGCCACAGTGAGACACACGGGACGATGCTGGCACATATGCATGTTTATATAGCATCACAGCTGTGGAGGAAGGGACTCTCTCAAGGTCCAATTTATTACTTTTAAAAAAAACCCTCCAGGATTAAACATTTTAATTTGTTATTTCAAATGGAAGCAAAATGAGATTTTTTCCCCCCCTGGGCCATTGATATTTACATTGTTTTGGAATAGGTTTTTAGATTTTGTAAAGAAAACTGCTCAGAGGATTTTGACTTAACTACAAGTTATGTCATAGACATTGTACTTTCATGAATGAGTTAATCCCAGAAGAAGATGGGCTTTTTAAGAATCTGGTTAAAAGGGGAGAAGCTGGTGAGATGTGCATGCACACACAGGGAGGGTCTGAGAACGAAGTCCTCTGATGCCCATGGGCACTCTCATGCCAACAAGCCCGGGACTGAAAGTCACACCTTAGTAGCACCAAGAAGATTCTAGTTTTGATAAATTTTCTTCTGGAAACGATAGTTACCCAAGTGTATAAAAAGCAAATATACTTTGAGACGAACATGCATATCTTGATTTCCTGAAGCTAATTTAAGCACAATTTAACTAAGTACATTATTTTAGAATTCATTAACTATTAAGATTGACTTAGCTCAAAAAGGAAACTGAGTTTATAAAAAATATTCTAAGATTTGTCCATCATCTATATGTCCTTAAGCAAAAGTGGATTTGTGTCATTCTATATGTAATGGAGAAATCGACAATGTTGGAATAAAACATGAACCATGTGAGGAAATACCAGGATGTACCTGGCAGCTGCACATCTACATGGTCAGATGACAGAAAGCACAAGCTTCATCCTTGGGCAGCGCCCACACCTGTGGGATGGGTGTCCTGCAGGCATTTCTGCCTATTGGGAGTGGTGAGTCTTCACTACGCTTTTGCTGTATGTCCCTTCTTGACTTATAACTTGGAAGGTTTGGCTAATATCAGATCTGACTCCTGACTCAGCGTTGATTTTAGAATACTTAAGGTTTGAATAAAGGCTGCATGGCTGGTGTCTTACTCCCTTCAAGACACTCGCACTGTGTTACACTGTTTCCCACCTGGTCTCCCCACATGTGGTGGCTCAACGCCAAACACTCCTTTTGGTTTCTGTGGGGAGGTTTCAGGATGTTGAGGGGAACATTAAAAGGACACATCAACATATGAAACTGAGACAATATCAGGCTCTGAAGCCTGCTTCTCCCAACTTACTGGACTGCATTGGAAAACCTGAAGTGATAGGACAGTATGTTTTAAAACCTGAATAATCTCTGCAACACGTAAAAACAGCAAAAACTCACTGGGAGTCTTAGAGAACCATGCCATCAATGATCACTGTTGACACAGTGGTGGCATGGGCTACAGAACCACTCGATGTCGGCATCTGAGGGGCAGCTAAGGTGGTGGCTCTGGAACCCAGCCTGGAACAGGAGAGGGTGGTGGCTGTGAACTGCATGTGTCCCACTTGGCTGGAGTGATACCAGGCAGTGGTGGTTGTGAACCATGTGTGCCTCACGTGGCTGGAGCAAACTAGGCAGTGTCTCTGGCAAATGTCGTTATCAAGGCAAGAAAGTGTATATGGAACTCCCTCGGGTTGGTCAGTGTGACCAGAGACCCAACAGAAAACACGAGATAATGCAGGTAGAGATGGTCTTTAGCTATGCCAGGCATGCTGGCTGCAGTTTCTGGTTCAGCTAATGTGAAGTTTATTACCTGCTTCAAAAATTTAGTTTGAAACAACAGAGCTAGGATTATAGTGATTCTATCTTCACGGGATTTTATTATAATCTCATTTACTCTTTCGTCAAGTTGGAAGGTTTTTATCTTACTTAAGCTCTGATGCCATATGTAAATACTATATATACATGTGCATATATTTACACATACACAGCACACCACACACAGTCTCCCCGGCTGCCACATGTAACTTTTAAACTCTCTATCTCAGATTTTTATCTTGCAGGGATTCTTCCATATCTTCTCTTAATAGGAAGCTATCGTCCCTTTCTCTTATCCTCAAAAGTTATTCCAAACTTTCTTTAACTTTGGTAGTTTCTAAATTTAAAAATTTCCAAATTAAAAAGGTGAGCACTTGTAAAATTCTGGCTCTGCCTATAATTAGGGTGTAATAATATTGACATTATCTGAAGCCCTTTGGTAGTGAATTTTGAATTGATTTCTCATGGGCTGACAACAATGAGTTTTGTAGAATACTGTTTGACTCCACTGGCCCCAAAGGGCAGAGAGTCATTTTCCCGTGGGCACAGCCGAGCTAGGATTAAGGTCAGCGCACCTAAGGTGACAGCACTGACGGCCATTCATGCACTCCGGGAAGAGGGCAGGGTCTCTGATAGACACCAGAGCTTGACAGCTTAACAGCTTCAGGTCTTGGTAATTTATTAAACATGATATGATCACATGTTGCCTACTTGTATGATTCTTTTTTCAAATTCAGAAATATCTCAATGTGAATGCAGGATTTCTTGAGGGGCTTTCCTTCTAAGAAAATAAACCATGCTTCTCTGTACCCTGACCATAAAACAATCCTAAGGAGAATGCTTGTGTTCCATTGATTAAATGGTGACTTCTCAGTTACAAAGGAATACAAGGAATTTAGTATTTCATTTTTAAAGGCTTCTAAATTAAATAAATATAATTAAATTTAAATTTTAAAATTGAAAACAAATATCTAAATTAGATCAATTCTGCAGTCTGAGAAAGACGAATGTGGGTTCTGACAAGTAACCCCCCACTGAGCAAGCAACAATTCTGAACTTCTTCCTTGAGGGTATGACTCCATTGGCTCCTGAAATGGTGTTAGGATGTGGCCGCCAGGCTGGGCTCCTGCTGTGGCCATGGAAGACTTGTGTGAAGAACATGAAGAAGATGTCTAATGTCTGTGTAGCATTGCACAGTGCACAGCCCATGCGTATGTTCACACTTGGTCCTCAGCATCCCTTATGAAGCAACCAGTGGAGGAGCCCAGTTCTATGTACACCTAGACAGCTACACCTGTGAGACTCAGATGCCCAGCACCTGTGGGTACAGCCACAATGCTAGGCTTGTTGAGTCTCAACTCAGTGCTCATCACACACACAGAGTGGATAAAACAGAGCATGCAGACAGTAAAAAGTAGAACAAAAACTGAAGTAGTAGTAATAAACAACATTTAAGTGAAGTAAAAAGTTTTTTTTAAAATATGCAACACTGGCCTTGACAAAATACAGATTTAGCTGAAGGACCGTGTAGATACACAGGGACCCAAGAAGGATTCTCAACAAAGTTACTAAGTGGTTATGGTGAAGACTGTCTTTTTATTTTGAGTCGAGGTGTCCCTCTGTCACCCAAACTGGAGTGCAGTGGCATGATCACAGCTCACCACAGCCTCGACCTCCTGGGCTCGGGTGATCCTCCTGTCTCAGTTTACTGAGTAGTTGGGACTATAGGTGCACACTACCACACTTGGATAATTTTTTGATTTTTTGTAGACATGGGGTCTCCCTCTGTCACCCAAACTGGAGTGCAGTGTCATGATTACAGCTCACCACAGCCTCAAACTCCTGGACTCAAGCGATGCTTCCATTTCAGCCTCCTGAGTGGCTGGGACTACAGGCACATGCCACCATGCCTAGCTAAGTTTTTGATTTTTTGTAGAGATAGGATTTCTCTATGTTGTCCAAGCTGGGCTTGAGCTCCTTGAGCTCAAGTGATTCTCCTGCCTCAGCCTCCAAAAATGCTGGGATTACAGGCGTGAGCCACTACACTTGACAAGATTGTCTTTTGATTCACAAACAAGAATTACTAGAATAAAGCTAGGATGAAAATGAACAAGCCCAAGAAGCAAAAGAAGAGAGAGGAGAAAATGCTAGAGACAGCGGGATGCATGTTGGACAGAAGGTGGGCAAGAGGGGTGGTGACTGTGCCCCAGAGGGAAGGCTGGAGACATTGGCTGTGAGGGAATATGGTGGGAGAAAGGGTGGGTGTACCGTGTCCCTGCTGTGGTTGCAGGGAGAAGGATGCTGTTGCCATAGACCCGTGTGTTGTCATCACCCAAGTCGGCCAGGGTTGAGCCTGGAGCCACTGAGTGGGCCGCTCAGGGATGGCCACACAGGAGTATACCTGCAGGTGCAGAGTCATTCCAGGACTTGTTTCAGTGGCACGTCTGTGGCACAGGGCTAAGTCACCTGTTAAATGCATATGTACTTGGTTCTGGTCTCCTCAGTTACACTAAACTGCTTGAGGGCAGAGACCATTGTCTTGCTTCTCCTGGATCTTCAGAGCCTACATGATGCCTTGGTGACTAAACATTGACTCACTGAGGAACTCCTGACTGAGTGTAGCCACTGGGGCAGAAGCCATCCCTCGCTCATGTCAGGATATGTTCAGATACATGTGGTGCCTTAGAGCATGAATGTTGACTGACCGAGGATCTCCTGCCTGAGTGTAGTCACTGGGGCAGAGGCCACGTGTAGTTAAAGATGTGCTTTCTGTCTCCTCACAGTGTACAAGGCAATGCCCAGCACACAAGAGTACACATGGGCAGTCAACTAATGCCCAGAGAAGAAGCTCTACACCATCGGACAGAAGAAGGTCAGGAGTATCAGACAAGACACAAGGAACCCCTGGTGCTGGGAACAGGGTGGGAAGGCAAGCTGAGAGGAAACAGCCACAGACCACAGGAGGTGGGTTGGAAGGCAGTGTCCAGCTCCTCATCACTGCCTTTCATAAGATGGGCAAGCATCCTCCTCTCCAGAATGAACTCACATCTATCTGTCCAGTGTGAAAGGCTACAGGCTGCTAGGGAAAATTTAGGGAGAGGGCCTGAAGTCATCTGGAGGGTCCCACTTTGTGTAACTAAGAATCATCTCTAGATACAAGAAGATCTTCTCAAATGAGATGTGAGAAATTTCACTGGGATCCATGAAAGCCACTTCAGCCACACAACCATGGCCACAGACCTCCGGGGCTACCCAGGAGGCCCTGAAAGGCCACACAGGAACTCAGTTCTAGAGACAGGCTCTAAGGTCATGACTTCTCACAGGTAAGGGGGTGCCTGCTGTAAACAACTACTTTTAGCAAAGAAAAAGAGCTTTCTGGCTGTTCCTAAACACACCCCACCATGCTATATAGCTCAAGGGCAGCAGGGCACAGGGGATAAGTCAGGATTCTAACTACACTTGCTTTCAATTTGGAGTCTTAATTTAAAACATTTTGTAGTTCAATCTTATTTTATTTTCCTTGGCATCAGGTATTTTACATTATTATAAATGAATATAAATTAGAAATAGAATTAAAAACAAAGCCATCCTATAATGAGCTTCTCCATTTACAGATACAAAGTAGACTTCTGGCGTCACTCTAGTAGTAGTAACAATTAGTTCTTATCAGTCATTCTAAATATATTTGACTTGCAGAGGACTATTTAAAATTCGTCATAATCTGGAAAGTATTTAGATATCATTCCTCAAAAAAATAAATGGCATTTTAGCAAAGGATTAATGATACTCAAACTACTAAAAGACAAACACAAACATGCTAACAGAAGGCTCACTTTCCTACTGTACCAGCCTAGCCTTCCCCCTATCACTTTCCTCATTGGGTCTGGGGCCCAGAGATGACTGTGGGAATCTGCACTGCTCAGTGAAGACCCTCTGAAAGACCCACTGGACGTTCACATGCAGGGTCCTTGGGACACAGGAACAATGTTCTCAAATGCACTCTCCTCACAATTCTTTAGACATCTTCACATTTTCAAACGATTATCTAAGCTCTGCCAGTTTGTTTTACACATATGTAGCATCATAATGTGATTAAGTTGATTATTACTTGGGTGTCCATTAATAATATGTAGTACATTCCTTAAATGAATCTTAGCATGTTTAAGTAAAAGACTGACTTTATTCTTTCCCACAGATAATATACACTAATATGTAAACTTCCAGTTAACTATCCCTAGCCTCCTGCTTGCAAACTCTTCTTCAAGAACACAATCGATAGGGCTACTCTAGTAATCTTATGAGAGTTACATGTGAAATAAAATTTTGATGAAAACAGCACAGAGAACAAACAGGACTCACCTTGGAAATACTGTCCATGTCCCCCGAGCCTGACGCAAAATATGAGAAGAAAGCCTTTATGAGGTAAGATTGCATTGATAAGTCAAATACTCCTTCAATTTACATAAACAAAGTACACCATATGTACTTTCCAATGAACATCTCCTGAGCTTTTGAATCTTAAAAACCTCCTTTTCTTTACATACTTTCTTTTACATACACTGTATGGTGAATCACTGTCATCTGATGGTAAATGCAAGGCAGTCTGTCTAGTTTCTAATAATCTATTTTTTAAGTGGAAGAATGAAGAAAACCACTGTTATCATAAACTCCTGAATGTGAAATATTGGAAAGGTCACACAAGTCCTACCCAACTAAAAAACTTAAAACGTATATACAATATATATGAGAGATATCTACATGTATTTTCTGAAAAATGATGCTGTAAATCTGATAAAATATAAAGAGAATACTTTAATGGTATTTGACAACGTTCTGAACCATATTGTTCTCATAATATTACCATAATAACCTAAAGCAAGGTGTCATCAATAATATTAAAAAGTCAACAGCAACTAACAACCATGGTAATCCTTCAAAACTAAAAATGTTTCCAAAATAGAATATTATATTTTAATTTTGATTCTTGGGAGAAATGTACAACCAATATCAATTTCTTTTCTTATATAAGAAATAGAATCATATATTAGGTAACAAAGAACAATAATTAGATTCCACAATGTTAGCTTTATTTTAAACTATTTTATTATTCTTAAAAACTAATTTTCCTGACATAAAAATAGTATAACATTTTAACAGCATAGCTTTCAGTCAACATCACAAAGTTAGGGCTTACAGACATGATTAATTTGTATATAAATAGGCACAACAAATGATTACAGGCCAAACGCATCTATCCAATCACATAGGTAAATAAATATGCACAGTAATGTTCACTATGGAAAGTGATGAACCAGTTATTGGGCGTGTGTGAAATGCTTCTGGAAACTCTCCTAGTGAATAAATACATCTGAGAGTCTTCTAACTATGATCAAACACCAACTTTTTGTGAATAATTCTACAAATAAAAAGACTAGAAGTGGAATCATTTTGCAATACATTGGAAAATGCAACTCTAAAAGGGTGCTGCCCGCAGACCACAGGAAACACTTCTCTGTGATGTCCACTGAGGTCACCACTAGCCATACATAGCCATGTGCACCAGCTGTGGCTGCACCACTGGAGAGCTGAATCTCACATTTCATTTAATCTAACATTAAAATAGTCACACATGGCTGGCAGCTAATGTAACTGGACAGTGAAAACCAAGAGTTTGAAATCTATTCATGGTAAGAATGGACCCTAAAAAGCACAAAAGTCTATAAAAGCGTTGCAAATAATTTCTTGATTTTGTAGTTACTTGAGTTTTCAAAGTATCAGAGGGTAGCATTTCCTGACCTTGGGTGGGGGAGGGAAATCTGCTTGTAACCTAAAATACTTGTGGGCATACTTTTGCACTTAAGAAAAAGATGAACCCTTTCCAAAAGAAAAACAATGACCACAGCCCACTTTCAATGTCAATTTCTGAATTAGTTTATGATCATGCCACTGAAACTGAAGCCCCCCTGAGGCTGTGTCTGCAGACCTCTGGAGACAAAGAAACCCTCTGGCAGGACACACTGTCCCTGGTAAGGTGTGCTCAGTACATGCTACAGCAGCAAGTTTCTGCATCATAAAACGCCAGATTCTGACAGGTTAAATGAATACCTGTGAATCTGAACTAGAACAGTTCTCACTTTTGGCTTTCAAATGATCGCCAGTTATAATAACCAATATGTTGTCGATGAAACTATCAGTATGAGGCAAAGGTTGGGCATTTTAATAGGAGCAGCTGGCTGCAGAAAGACTTTGTAAACCAGGGCACCCACCATGCAGAACTCAGGTTTTGCTCTGAATATACTCTGAACACCAAGTTCAAGTCCTTACCTAGAGAGCCGTTCATGTGATGGGACTCCATGCCTGCCAGGCCACCCATGGGGCCATCTGACCCAGGGCCCATTGGAAACTATTTGAAAAATGAAGAAATAACTATAATCACACTGAAAACAATGGTTTGTCTCAACTTCACAATATCTATATTTAACATTACAAGACACTGCCACACGTATTTGCATTCTCAAGTTACGAAGATTCTTTATTTGATCTTTTCAGTCTTGCGCCTTCATCGCCTGGACTGCCCACCCCTCTCCCAGCTTCTCTGTGTTCCAGATGTTTAGGAGAATCCTCACACATGTCCAATTTTCTTCTTCCGATATTCTCAACTAGAAAGCATGTACATTCCAGAGCAAATCAGACGATTGCAACCTCTCTATGATCCTGACAAATTTTCTATTAAAAACCTAAGGTAGTTCTCAAGAAGCTGCTAAAGGTGCTGCTTATTAATAAGAGCAGTACAACATAATTATGCCAACATTAACATTTTTCATAGCAAACAACCTATCTTGGTTCACATGGACATCATAAATACTTTCATTTTATGGGTTAGATACACTTAGTTCCTTGGGGGTGGCCGAACACAGCTAATTCTTGGCGGTCTCAACGATGTCACTTTGGTGACAATCAGACATTCCAAAGCAGTTGTTAGACATTTTTTAAGCAGTGGAATTATTTTTCTTTTCTCTTCTGGTGAAATCTGATGCTGAAAGCCTGGCACACAAGAGATGTGAACAGATGTGCCACGCTACAGCTAGTGTCTGAGGGCCCACCTGTCCACACCGTCTCTCCTTATTCTCCTAGGATACTCCTGAGGACACCTGGGTGAAGACAAGTCATCTTGTAACTACCCCACCACCACAGCAAAGATGGCCTAGGAGACACACTCACTTCCCATTTCCCATTTCCCATGCCAGAAGCACTTCTCCCATGTCATGTGGTGCAGAATACTGCCTGTGGGGTGTGTGTGTGGGGTGTGCGGGGTGTGTGTGTGTGTGTGTGAGAGAGAGAGAGAGAGAGAGAGAGAGAGAGAGAGAGAGAGAGAGAGAGAATGAGAATGGGGCAGTGGTGGAGACCAATCATGAAGGCTTTGGGGGAGATCAAACTGTCTCCAGCCAATTCCCTGCATATTATCTCCTCTGCCTGGGAACGGGAGGACTTTCTGTTGCCACATGCACACAACCATGTGTTTATGCATCTTCCCAAAAGAATGCCAATTCTGCTTGGTAAAATTAAGTGTCTAAAAGCACATGAACTGGCTTTCAGTAAACCACTTGGAATACATATACCCCACTGACAAGTCAAAGAGATTGGCTCTGAACTTACTGGCGTTATTGAGTCTTTATTAAAAGCACAGCTAGCTGGGCTCGGTGGCTCAGCCTGTAATCCCGCGCCTTTGGGAGGCTGAGGTGAGTGGATTGCCTGAGCCCGCAGGTTTGAGACCCGTCTGGGCAGCGAGACTTCATCTCTACAATAAATCAAAAAATCAGCCGGGCGTGGTAGCGCACGCCTGTAATTCCGGCTACTCGGAAGGCTGAGGCGGAAGGATCACCGGAGCCCAGCAGGTCGAGGCTGCGGTGGCCGGGAGCGGCCACTGCACTCCAGTCTGGGCGACAGAGTGAGACTCCAACTCAAAAAAAAAAAAAAAAGCACAGCTGAGGTTGGGTGTGAGAAACCATGCTGGTGAGTCCAGGGCCGTGGACACTTATCTGGACCCATGGCGTTCTCAAAGGCAGTAAAGCTAGGGTACGTGTGTTGGGTTGGCTTAGCACAGAACGTATTCATCTTCTGACTTTTCTTTGACTTCTGCTACCCTACACATATGTGCATGAAATATAATCTGTTATAAATATTTTTGTTAGCATATAGGCCTTCTATCATAGATAAGTATCTTCCTGTGAGCTTTTGTGGAAAAATCACAACCAAACTTTAATAACCCAAATTCTTCCTGTAATAACACTCTCAGCCCCTTAGTTAAATCCTAGATTTCATATGCTAAAGAACATCCTAATTTATTTTCAAGTTTATCAGGATAAAAAACATCATAATGAAGAACTCTAGTGATGCTAAAAATGTGGTAAACATAAATGTTTATCCGTGACCTGTCATTTTCAGTCAGTATTAATCATTAAGTATTTAAGATAGAGTAAGATGACATCAACATCTAATAATTGATTAGGTTCAGTTTTACATTTAAATTATATTGATATAAAATTTATGTTACACAAATATATTATGTTTTTTAAACCAGAGCACATAAAAAATTGAACTTTTCTGACATCCAGTAAGCTCAATAATAAAATATGAAGTTTAAACAATATATTCAGGAAATAAAAAGCACTCAGAGTTTGAAAATCTTCAAATATATTTCAAAAATAAATTTAAAGATTCATATTTACATTAGGTCTGTTGGGTCCAGGAGGTACTGCGTTCATTAATGTATACATGTTATCTCCAGAGTTGGTTGAATCTGAAACAAAATATTGCTTAATTAATATTCTTCTTTAGAATCTACGCCCAAGTCATCACAAAGTGATAATCAAAGACAATTTGGATATATCTACCTATCTCTCTACACATTGGCTGCCACACTTGAAGTTGTCATTACCAGTCATTTTCTCACCCCAAAATACTCATTCTGAGGTCATAATCCAGGTATAGAAGAGGAATAATCACTTAAATAATTCAGACAAGAGGCACATTATTTTAAAGTCTAAAAAAGTAATTTTTCTTTTAAAAAAATATATTTTTTGACTTCTCTAAGCCATTATATGTATACATACGATGGAAATCTCTTAAAATTCAAATTTAGTAGCTTTTCAGTTTTCATTATTTCCTTAGGTTTCCTATACATAAATTTAAAAAATAGTTTTTTCAGTTAACAGTTAGTAAAAGCTGATGAAATATCCTGACTTAATGCCACAAGAGATTAGAACAAGACTATACAAATGAAATAAAAAATTCTTTTGTTTGTTACTAAAAGTCAGTTTTCTCCAGCACAAGTTTTGATGAGCACTTTTTTCATTCATTTTATTCTTGATTTGGTATAATAGAAATAAGTCTCGGGTATATCCATATAAGAATATGTAACATTGTGTAGTATTTTTGAAAATTTACATTTCATGCCTATTAGCTTATTCTAACTGAGGCCCTGAGCATGTCTTTTTAAATGTAAAACCTGGAGTTAATGGCTAAATATTTTACATTGAGAAAACACCAATTATAAAATAGGGTTTTCTGTATTTTTCACATTATACAGTTTTCTTTAATATAATGTAGTAGGCCTCTCTATTTTGAAAAAAGATGTGTTTCAATGAGTTTGTATTGATTCAAGACAGAAAGTCAAATCATTAGCTGTCACGGCAGCAGCCATAGGTGGGAATCGGGCAGTTACTCTTCCTCTTCCTGTGTGATGACATCATAGACACGAACACGTTTATGCCTTGAGTGTGTACCGCTTACAGAGTGGATATGATGTCATTTATCGGTTGGTTGCCAACAGTGATCCATACATCTAAATATGTTTTACTTCTTTTTTTTTTTTTTTTGAGTTGAAGTCTCACTCTGTCACTCTGACCTGCTGGGCTCCTGAGATCCTTCTGCCTCTGCCTTCCAAGTAGCTGGAACTACAGGCATGCGCTACCACACCCGGCTAATTTTTGATTTATTGTAGAGATGAGGTCTCGCCAAGTTGCCCAGGTGGGTCTCGAACCTGTGGGCTCGGGCAATCCACTCACCTCAGCCTCCCAAAGCGCGGGATTACAGGCTGAGCCACCGAGCCTGACTAAATATGTTTTACTTCTAAATGAATATATCAAAATGTTAAAAAACAGGTGACCCCTCAGGGTCACCCCTTTTTGTTTATGCCAAGTGAGGCCCGGCCTCTTTTTGTGGCCTCAGTTCTTTTATATCCTGTGTATGCTGCCCTTCTATCAAACTGTAGTGGGCAGACTGCTTACTTTCCCTGAGTATGACCAATCTTCCTGCCTCCATATTTTTGCTCCTTCTTCCTTTGAATACCTTCTTAAGTGCCACATGCTGAAATTCTACTCACTACTGAAGGCCATGGCAAAAGTTACATCTTCTGTGACATATTTTCCTGGTATTTGCAAGTGCCTACCACTGAAGGCTGCCTTTTGTTTACTTAATATTTTATTGTCTTATTCTTCCTTCCTGCTTCTAACTAGAATATGATAAGCTCATTGAAAGAAGGAAAAGGAGCCAGGCTTGGTGGCTCAGCCTGTAATCTTGCGCTTTGGGAGGCTGAGGTGAGTGGATTGCCTGAGCCCGCAGGTTCGAGACCCGCCTGGGCAACTTGGTGAGACTTCATTGCTACAGTAAATCAAAAAATTAACCGGGGCGTGGCAGTGTGCACCTGTAGTCCCAGCTATTTGGAAGGCTGAGGCGGAAGGATCGCCGAAGCCCAGCAGGTCAAGGCTGCGGTGGCTGGGAGCAGCCACTACACTCCAGTCTGGGTGACAGAGTGAGACTCCAACTCAAAAAAAAAAAAAAAAAGAAAGAAGGAAAAGGACCGTGCCTTATCCACCATGTGTACTACGGATAATAAGTATCTGCTAACTTAGATCTACCTACTGGAGTAAACTCTCACAACACAAAGTTAACTTTCAATTCTTGGGATGCTTTTTAAACATAGGAAAATTTCAAATAGCTTTTCGGCAGTACGAGCCTTACTCTTGGTGAAAGTAAAGTGGGCTGTATATTTTACATATGCAGAAATAAAAGAAATCTATCATTTTAAAGACTAATCAAGAATGTTATTTCATTTGAAAAAGGAAAAAAAATTGAGAGGGATAAGGCTGGCATTTACTAGCAAGTGTCAACTTCCTTTTATGTACAGAAAAACTTTGAAGTGGATCTTCTGGCTCCTCTTTTGGTGGGTGGGTGTTGGCTTAGCATTAGTGGGATGGCCGTGATGGGGGTGAGTGCATGAAAGAAAAGGTAAAGGACTGGGGAGGTGAACGGGTGGCAACTCTGACTTTACGAGAGCCCTCGTTAGCTGCAGTGGGTAGGTTGCTCCCAACATTCCCTTTCAGTCTCGTGGTGCAGCATTTGTTAATCGCATGCCACCTTCATAAACCAAACACTGACTTTACCAGGTAAGACTGCAAATGCGGCAACATGACAGCTCATGTAATTTTATCTTTGATGAACTCTGCCTCATTTTCAGTGAAGATGATTTGAGGGCAGAGCCCATGAAATACACATGGGCACAAGCCAAAGAGCTGGTGAAGCAAAGTCACATTTGTATTATCCAATTTGTAATTTTTCTAAATTAAAAAGCTTCAACATTGAAAATTATTATTTATTGGTGTGATCAATGATGCCGAATTTCAAGCTTCTATCTTAGATTTCAATAAACCAGGTAAGAGTATGTGGACTGAACGGTAAAACGTGATTAAAGATAATGTCTTATTATAAAAATTGCCTTCCTATTTTATCATCTAAAATATTCATGGATAAAGTTTTAGCCGATTTCCTTGTTTTCTACCTTCTAGACTTCTGTATTATATATATATATATATATATATATACACACACACACACACTATATATATATTTTTTTGAGTTGGAGTCTCATCCATCGCCCAGGCCAATCCTTCCATCTTAGCCTTCCAAGTAGCTGGAACTACAGGTGCGTGCTACCATGCCCAGCTAATTTTTTGATTTATTGTAGAGATGAGGTCTCACCAAGTTGCCCAGGCTGATCTCAAACTCTGTGGAGTGAGGTAATCCTCTCACCTCGGTCTTCCAAAGTGCTGGGATTAAAGGCTTGAGCCACAACGCCCAGCCATATATATTTTCAAATAAAATTATGATTATATTGCATAGAATAAGCAGCATTTATTTTTCCATGTCATTAAAGAATCTTTGATAAATTTAATAGCTATATTATATTCCATCTTATATTTAAAAATTAATAATTTTGCTAAAATTGAATTGGGTATGAAGATTGTGCTTGCTATCTCACTATTGCATCTCCTTCTACATAAATCTTGGGTTGTGTCTCTAACCATTCCTAGTATTAGAATTACGCTGTCAATACAATGACCTTTACATGGCTATTAATACACTTCACCAGATGACTTCCCAAGAGGCTGTGCCAATTTCAGTTTCCACCATGAATGTCCCCAAGACACATTTAATTGTATTGATGTCTCAAAAATAAAGGATAAAGCTATTTAAACAACTATATAAAGTTATTGTGAAATATTGAAGAATATTTTAGTTTAGAAGTTAAAAACAGCCTTTCTCACTATCCAGTGAGTTTACCAGCTAAATGATAAACACCTACAGACAGGTAAGTAAACAGTACTGTAGGTACTTTTCCACTCACCTTAGTGAGACAACAGATGTAGTGGACTGAATTTGGTACCTAAACCTAACAGATCCGTGTATCTAATGTTTCACTTATTGAGAATTTTCCTAAATTGTATGATTTGGATCTTTTTCTCATCTCCAGGAATCTATAAGTTACAAAGATTACTGGGCCATTCTCAATCAGCAATCAACACATTGTTCCTCCTGACTCAGTCCCTTCCCTGACTCAGTCCCTCCTGTTTGGAAAACACGAGTTTTCCAAACGCACAGCTGGATGGTGGTTACATAGGAAACTGTCTCTTCCTGCCTACCACCTCTCCTCTAACCATCGTAAGACAATGAACATCACTAACTGTAGTTCACGACCATTTTCATGTTCTGTGATTCTATTCTAACAGTCGTTGTCCACATGACTAGTTTGGTTACATACCTGCTGGGCTTGGCATGATGGGTGTCCCTGGTGGGCCACCCCCTCCTGGAGGACCCTAAATAGTCACACAAAATTTCAGTAAAAATAAGGCATTGCATTGAACAGTATAAGAAAAAAACAGAAGGAAAGTTAGATTTATCTCTACAATAATCCAATTTGAAAATAAGAGAGGAAATATATTTTCTCGACAATTTATTTTCTTTGAATGCAAAATCATTTCAATATTATGCAAAACATAATTTAGCTTAAATATGTTGAGACTGTTTTGACAAGTTTCCAAAAACAATGAGCTTGTAATGCTGATTTATTAAGCACAACTTAATCACATCAGTTATGATGAGGTTAGGCAGAAACCACCCAATAATTAGGGCCTTTACAAATCCACAAAGAAACCATTCCTGTGCATTTTGGTTTTAGTTTACTATAATTTTCTTATATTTTAAATTACTGGTTTTTATAGCAAACCAAAGATGTGTTTAGAGAATATATTTTAAAAACAAAAGATGTTCACTTATTGGTTTTTATTTTTAAAAAGCACGTCAGGGCAATGTCTGTCCTCGGATGGCGCCAGGTGTGGCCCCGAGGCACTGTGCCTTCCCAGTCACACCAGATACAACAGGTGCCTGGTTAAGACCTTGGGCTCCTAGGCTGCCCAAATGGAAATGGGACTGTTCTAAAGTTCACTGAGCTATTTCAGCCAAAAGAATGGAGAACATGGGCATTGAGTTTAAGGCTTTCAGACACTCTGTGTACAGTGACACATAGACTTTCAAGGGGCTGAATGTTCACTTCATTCTGAATGTGTGGGCACAGCCTCCCAATTATTTCAAAACATCTGAATTTGCTTCTTAATAAACAAATTTCCTTTCAAATAAAAGTCTATAATTTCATAAAACTATGTATCAGCCATTTTTTTTTTTTTTGAGTTGGAGTCTCACTCTGTCACCCAGACTGGAGTGCAGTGGCTGCTCCTGGCCACCGCAGCCTCAATCTGCTGGGCTCTGGCGATCCTTCCGCCTCAGCCTTCTAAGTAGCCGGAACTACAGGCGTGCGCTACCACTCCTGGTGTATTCTTAAGTGACATCACAGAAATACAGGTTTTACCCACATTTTCTTATTTTTCACTTGTGTCTCATGGAACACACAATGGAAGCTGGATGTGCTCAGTTTGCACAGCTGAGCACTGAGCATCACGCACACAGGTCCAGGGTGTGTGTTCACCGTTAATAAGCCTGGATTTCCATGGTAGGTGAAGTGCAAGTTAGCTTTCCTCTTAATGCACTCCTCTCCCCCTCCAGCTCGCCACCACTTCTGAACATTTCTTTAGGAAATGTTTCCCTTGTTACCATGGTTTTTTTTTTTTTTTTAATAGACAGGGATTTGCTCTGCTGCCAGGCTGGAGTACAGTGGTGCAATCATAGCATAGTACAACCTCAAATTCCTGGTCTCAAGGGATCCTCTCACCTTGACCTTCCGAGGTGGAAAGACAGGCATACACCCAAGCCCAGACCTCCTTGTTACCATTTTATCCTCGCTTTTCTGTTTGGCATTTCCTCCTAAATGTTGTATTATATTTAACAAGGATCATGACGCGATGATTATTACAAGGTTATTTGTAAGTTTAGGAGGTCATTAAAAGATGTTCATTCAACTTCATGTCATTATGAATTTTTGGAAAATTGTAATGTGTCCCAAATAATAATAAGAAAAATCAGTGTTCTCGATTTCTAAGAATGACAAAAACTAAAGGATCCTTTCAAATTCCTAGTCATTATCCTGCTGTCTGACTCACTTTGTGATTGGGAAGAAGTTTAATGTCTTCTTAGACTCTGTGTGTGGCGCAGGGCTGGGGTGCAGATTACTTTCCTGGAGAATCACAAATTCGAGCACGTCATTGTGTAACTGGGGACGCCTCGCCTCATGATTGGATGGAGGGTGCTGTACTGGTTTTCAGAGACATATGCTGAAGCAAAGCACGGTGCCCAGGGCAAGCTGGCCAGATTGATAACTGCCTCACTAATGAAAACCAACATATGTACGAGGTTGGCAGAGGAAACAATTCAAGATGCTCACTTCTTGGCCAATACATGGGGCTCTGCTTAACATCTGGACAACTATTTCATTACCCAAATAAAATGTAACATCAATTCTTATGAGCAAACAAACCCAAATGTACTTACTACATAATTCCCAGGAGAGGCTGAGGAGTATGGTATCTGGAACATGAATAAGACAAAAATAAAAATAAAAAACTGATTCATATGGCAGTATGGACATTGACTTAAGATGAATTTATTTCCTACTTTTATCAAGTTCTAAAATGTATCATAAAGGATAGTAAAGGATAAAGGAATTAAAGTGCTGGAAAACTGAATAATTGCAATATTATCTTGGATTTTCACAAAAGAAGGCAGATTTTGGTCAAGAGGAATTCAGAATTACAGCTTTAAGTTGGATAGGTTTCAGGTTAAGTTGTACACATTGCTTGATACTAATAACTTATTCTGTAAGTAGAAATTACACTTGTGTTGTTAAAAATGGGAAACCACACTTTTTCAAATCAGTAGCCTTTACACATGAACCTTCTAAGCTGTGTGCTTTTTTGCTTTTTTAAAGACAGGTTTTTGGCCAGGACACTCATGCTGTGTGGACCAGTATCTCACAGAGACCTTCCCCTCCTCTTCCCTTTCTAATGAGCTACTAGAAAACAGTAGAACAGATGCAAGTAAGTTTCCTGATATGAGTCTCCAAGGATTACTGATTTGTAGAGAACACAAATGAACAAATTCCTCCTCTGCAAATCAAGTTTTTAACCAAGATCTTTTCAAGAGATTAGAAGATACTGACACCAAATTGCTGTGATAATTTAAGTGAAAAACTGGAAAGCCTGTATTTAAAAATAAGCACTTGACTGGATGTTATTGGGAAAGTTAAATCCAAATATTCTCATTTCACACAAGCTCACTAGCTCACTTGCACGAAGATGCTGTGCAGCCATGAAGACATTTTTGCTTTATTTTGAAAAAAGCTAAAAACATTGCTATCCACTTGAAGTCAGCCAGAACCAGAACAGGACCCTGGGAGCAGTGAGAAGATGCTGGTGCCTGTGCTCTAAATGTGTCCTCACCCCAACCCTATCACATAATTAAACATGAAACCCACGTGAAACCACATAATTAAACATGAAACCCACGTGAAACCATGAAGAACAAGGAAGTACAACAAAGTTACGATTTCCCCTTGACACATAATTCTCTGGTGCTTTTTTGGGGGAAATATTTAATATTAAGTTATTTGGAAAGTCTTTCTCCTTCTCATTTGATGTGCTTGTTTTGCTGTGAGCCCGGGTCACGTAGTGCCAGGCTCTGCCCATGGGAATTCAGCACCACAGATGGCCATGCCAGAACACCTGGCACCGCCAATGAAGGGGCTACTTCCACAAGCTCTGAGCTCCTTCATGGCAGAAGTATCTCCCATGCTGTGGTGGGTGAAAACAACATTGCTCCCTTGGGACCCTTTCCGTCCATGATCGACTCCCATCCACTGCTTCCCCTAATTTAAACCTGGGCCCTTTCCAATCATCAACTCACCTACTGGCACCTAGGACAGATTTCATGTACCCATGCCTGCAGCCTCCTTGTTCTTCATGGTTTCACGTGGGTTTCATGTTTAATTATGTGGTTTCACGTGGGTTTCATGTTTAATTATGTGGTTTCACGTGGGTTTCATGTTTCATGTTGTTCCATCACTCTAGCTGTCTATATGCTATTAAGCAACTACAAGATCCAGTGGAGCCCCCTCAGGTCTGTGGAATTCACAGTCACTGTCCTCCTAACTCTGCAAATGCAGCCCATCTTCCTCCATGAGTACCAGCACATCCTGGAGCTCTTTACACAGAGATCTGAACACTGCCGTTGCCTAACCTGCCTGATATCTTTCTTATTCCTCATGACACAAAAATTACTCTATATTCCAGTCAGCACCTTCTACCATCCTGACTCCTTCACGCTTACCTAGAACATTAGTTCTCTATGGGTGCACGGCTAGGTGGCCTCTGCCACCCTTCCACGCCATTGTCATTTTATTTCTCCCACCCACATCTTAAATTCATTACCCTAAAGCCTACTTTGTTAATTTCCACTTATTTGATCACCCCTAGCCAATCTTTCTGTTTTAAGCAGACATATCCTGGAGGGAAAGACAAAGCAATGCTGGCAAAGTCTAAAATGGAGTCAAGTTCTCCATCTCCCTACTGTCTGTTCAGTCTTTGTGAAAGTTCTGAAGCTTAGTATTGATGTGTCAGGACACCCAGTAAATGTCATGTGGAACAAAAGCCTCTATTCACAGCACTTGCTAATTACCTTGGTGTAAATATTCCCATGCTGCAGATTTCAGCTACCAATAGTTTAACAAACAGTTCACTAAATCCCTGAATACTGAACACCTCTAGATGCTCCACCTTCCCATCCCATATCAACACTGCCGAGTTCTTGCCATGCCTTAATTCCAGTTCAGCACTCCACCATATACAGATTTAATTTTTTGTCTATTCATCCCACCTAGAAAGAAGCACATTTTCTGTTTCCAAAGTCAGCTCCTCCCAGCATCCTACTCTCCTAAAGTCTTGCTCCTTTTATATTTTTAATTTCTCCTTCCTCATGACTCCTTCAAACACAGTTAAATATAATAAACATTTTGAAATAATATAAAAATGTTACCTCATCTAGTTGTGATTTTTTCCCATTTTTATCCTGTCAAGCGCTTTAATTTTGGCTTACACCAACTGCTTCTACTTCATATTCTTTGATTCCTTTATTAAGCATCAGCATTTGGGCTTCTGCCCGCACTTTCCTGAACTTGCACTCTTGAAAGCTACCAGCAGGATCTGGCAGCCTTGTGTGAAGATGGAAGACATCACCACCCCGTGAGCAAAAGCCCTGTGTGGCTCAGAAGATGAATTTGCGCTGGAAGCTGAGAGCACAAAGAGTAGATGCCCACCAGAAAGACAAGAAAGAAAAGAAATCTGAGCAACACAATATCTTTGGAAAACAATGTGTGACTGTGCACAGAGGCTGCAGGGTGGGCCTCACAGCGGTCGTGGTAAGTGGGAGGCTGCGTGGTCAGGGCATGAAGGAATTTATGTTGTGAGAAGTCAGGAGTTGCGGGTTTTAGAGATGTACTCACACGTTCATTTCAGAAAAAGTCTAGAGGCATCACGGGATATGCACACAAGTTAGAAGACTGTGAGGACCCAGGTACGAGTCAGTGTGGACAGGTTTAGATGGTGCTGGTTAGGTCATGGGGGAGTAGAAGACTTGGGAAGGCACTTCACACATTGCCTGGCAGGGCTTGGTCACAAGCTGGGAATGGCAAACAAAGGAAGGAACAAATTGCGGCAATTCCCAGGTTTCAATTTGGTGACTGGGAGATAATGCTGCCACTCATGCATGAGGGGGCAATAAAAAACCCAGAATTATCTTTTGGAGGACGAACCCCTTGTAGTACAGGCTTATCCTGCTAAGTAAGTGTTCTAGGAACACATTAGCATTGCTGTACGAGCTAGCATTGTTGTGAGAGTCTGCATTTGCCTTCCGTGAATTTTTTTTTGGCAATTCTTTCAACGTGTTTGCCCATTTAATAATGGCTGATATCCGAGTGTACCTGCCCACATCACATTGAGTATTCAGCAGTTTTTGACCAAAAGCAGCATGATCCCCATGCTTTACTCCGACATTCACTTGATCTCTTCCCGAGCAATGGTTTTTTGTTTCCCCAGATGAAAAAAAAATTCTCAAAAAAGGGAAATGTTTTGCCAATGTGGAAGAGGTGAAGCAAAAAATGGCAGAAGCACTAAAAGGTATCAACATTGATGAGTTCAAAAATTGTTTTGAGCAGTGGAAAAAGCATCTGGATAAGTATACTGCATCAAAGAGTACTTTGAAAATGACTGAAATGTAAATGTGCAAGAATAAATATGCAATTTTTTATAAATAAATCCTGATTTTGGGGGTCCCCCCCAAAAGAGATTCGAGACATGAGCAGGTTCGGGGAGATGTTGGACATGTTGAATTTGAAGTCACAGGTAGAGGCTGAGGTTGATGTGACCAACACACTTCCAGTAGGGTAGGTGTAGACTTTGTTGGAGACCTGGACCAATGACATAGCTTCAACTGAATAAATTCCCACTTTATGCTGGACACAATACTTGATCTAGGCCTTGACTAGATTTTGTAATAGTTGAAACCATATGAGAACATTGACGTGAAAAAAGAAGCAGCCCAGAAACATAATTAGAAAACATTACCCATTACCAGCACAGAAAGGGTGTATCATGACTGGGTGGAAATCAGAGGAAAACACCTTGTAAAAAGTCAACCACATAGACTTTTACACAGAAGGGAATGGATGCAGTTCAGCCAGGAAACGTCTACATTGGGCTCATTCTTGAACTCTGTCAGCCTTAAGCCTTCTAACCTTTCTGTGGCACAACTAAAGCTAAAAATAAATGATTAAATTAATAAAAATATGAAATTAAGAAATGAAAAAAAGAAATGCAGATATGTAAAATAAAACCAAGGAGTTGAGTATCTGAGAGATCAGGTATGATGAGAACAGAGGATGAGTTGTCCTCTTTGCCTGGTCAGTGGTGGTCGTGGTAGCTCAGGAAAAGACAGAGGTGGGCTGAGCACTTGATTCCAGACACCTTCCTTCACACCCTTAGGCACTGCAGGTGCTGCACCACCATGCACGGATGAGAGAGGCAGGAAGGTTGAGGGGTGCAGGATCTGGAGGGAGGCTGGGGAGGCAGGCATGTGGGAGGATGAGTGGACTAGGGACGGGGACAGAAATGTCCTGTCAACGACAGTCCTGGTGCCGGGGCAAGGCGGCCTTGGGGTTTTGTTCATGAGCACAGCACCAGGGGACGGTCAAGGTGAGGAAAGGGACAGACTGAAGGCCCCTCTGGAAGTGTGACCAGCAGTACACGAAGAACAACCACGGGAGGACAAGTGGCTGGGTCAGTGTGGAGAACATGTCTGTGCCTGAGCCAGGAAGGAGGACGAGGGGTTAAAACACCGGAGGCCAAGTTGGAATCCAGAGAAAGTGAGGCTCCTGGTTTTTCAAAGTATAAAGCAATTTTAGCAGGTAGGGAAGAGTCAACGACAGGGCAGGGCACGGCGAAGGCACTAAGGACTGGAGCCACCACAGAGGAACAGGT